TATTTCTTCCCCTCTCCTCTCTCTCTCCATTTTAGCTCCCATCCAAATTAAGGGTTTTTGAAGGGTAGTTAAATTTTTAGACTATTATACCCTTATGATTTTTTGATATTCCACAACCACCCATAAAATATATTATTATAATATTTATTTTAAATAAAAAATATAAATTATTATAAAAATAAAAAACATTATTTAAATAAAAAATTATAATATTATAAAATTAATTGTTTTTTATAAATATATTATTTATTAAATGTATTTTAAAGCTGAAAAAAGGCATAGCCTAAAGAGAATAAAATTTCAATTTTTTTAGAGCATATAAAATTTGTTAATTTGATTATTTCAAATATATTATTATATTAATTAGAATTTAAAAAAAAATACTGTACTAATTTTTTAATGCACATATTAACATGATAAGACTGAATTTTTATTAAATTATATGATTTAAATTAAGATGTAAATTAATTTATATAATATATCAATAAAAAATATACGCTAATATATACGGGTAAAATGGTAAATTGATTATTACTATCCCTCTCCTTTTCTTTTTGAACCAAACAAAAGATCATTAAATATTCATTTCTCCCTTCCTTTTTAATCAAACTAAATAAGATGAGGATGAAATCCAACCTCCCCTTCCCTACCCTACTCTCCCCTCAAACCAAACCAAATAGCCCTAAGGGTGCCATTGCGCAGGAAGAAGACTAGACCACTTCGAGTAAGAAAAAGACTTGATGGTGGAGGAAAACATATGACCGTATGATTTGGAAAAGGATGTGACGGACATTGGTGATGCATGTACGTGACGAGCGAAGGAAGCGATGAGCCATCGGCAAACGTTGATACGATAACACGTGTGGGCAGCCACCCCCACAGTAAGACCCAAACCGCAATGACCGTACCTATTAAAATACTCTCAATACCCTTCCACTTTGTATCAATTATAAAAAAAAAAAATTATTTTAAAAATATACAGTTCAGTCTAATTATTTAACATCGTTAATAATATTCTAAAAAGATTCTAAAAATCTTATTTTTAACTAAAATTATTTTATTTACTATTTTATTTTTCATTCTAATAAATTTTTAAATTATATTTTTACAGTTTCATCAATTTCATTCAGTTAAAATAAATATCAAAGATTAGATTAAAAATTTAACCAATTTTTTAATAAATATATATTTGACTAAATATGTTTATAAATTTTTGTAACAAAGATGTATTTAAAAGTTTTGAATTATAAATTTAAATAATTTATAAAAAATTTTAAATTTATATCATTTAAACTTTATGATAAACAAAAACTATCTATTTGAAATATATTTTTATAATTTAAAAAAATCAAAGTAAATAATTTCCAATGAATGTGATAAAATATTAAAATTATAAAATTTTATGATTCAGATCAAAATTAATAAATTTTAAAAATAATTAATTTTTGTTTTATAAAAACAGTTTTTAGAAAATATAAATGTCTAAATAATTATTAAATTTAAAAGGGGTATTTTGGCCTCAAAAAAAATTTTAAAATCAAACTAACGGTCAACTAACAATTTAGGTAAATGAAAATAAAATATTAAATATAGAAAGAAGGTTTATGTAACGTATGTCTTAGCTGTAAGAAAGGTTTTACATGTTTTTAAAATAAAAAAATTTTTGTAATTGAGATAAAATAAAAGAATAATCGATATATTTTACTCTATATCTCATTATTTATAACTTTATATATATCTGTATATACATATATAATTTGCTGGGTTTCAAACGATAATACGCAGCCCCGGCACAACGGCACTCCTCAACTTATCAACTGATCAGTTATCATTAGAAGTGGGCTCCACCATGAGGCCTCACCTACCATTTCCGCCTATTTCTCGTCCTTTTTAACTTTTTTAGCGTCCACTCACTTTTCGTGCCAACAATAATAATGTTGGCTAGAGATAAGAACGACATCTATTTTGTTCGCCAAATGGAAAAAAACGCCTACTTGGAGTGTTTTAATTGATTTCGTCCATTGTCCCACTCTTTCCTGTCACTCCCCAAATGTGTTCGTTCCAAACATTTTTCAGTTTCAGTCAAAATTCACTTTAGTTACTTTTTCTTTTTTTTGCCAAACACTTTATTTACATTGGAAAGAGACTTTATGACATCTAGATTTAAATATACACAAGGAATCCATTTGCTTTGTGGAGAAAAAATGACTTAAATCGACCCCCGGCTCCAGGATCAAAGGTAAAATAAATAACGGAGCACGAATCTTCTCTTCGTTTGTGGCAAAATCTGCTGTGCGTAGCAAACGTTCTTTAACTTAGAAGTCCATGCTTGTATAACTTATCACTGCCTTCCACTGGTAATTGATTTAATGGTGGCTGCCTTTTGAGACGGTCTGCTACATTTGAAGCCATGACCGTATCAGCATTCCAATACCAGGGTTGAAGATAAGGTGAATCAATAGTCGCGGACCATGAAGATGGATGAAGCATAACAGAACCCCAATCTCTAGTTGCACGCTTCTGTTCCCTTATCCTTCTCCTGATTAACAAACCTCCCACGTCTTCTTTTTTCATTTCTGATACACTTTTCAGTGTTGAAATGCAAGGGAGAATGCCAATGCTGCATCTTCTTCCGGTAATAATTCAACAACCAACAGCCTCCAATTCAGAAGGGCCGTCGCTTTTCCATTTGGGTTCTCTTCTGTGAAACGGACAAGTGTTACAAATCCTTCCTCATCTTCTTCCCCCTCCTCCTCCGTCGGGCCGGCCCTTTTAGGCCCTGAAATTATGAGGGCCGGGCTTGATATTTTTCTCTTAAAATGAAACATAAGCCCTGGAGGGCTGGCCCTGGAGGGCTGAGGGCTTAAAAGGGCCGGCCCTGGAGGGCCACGGGCCGGCCCTTTTAAGCCCTTTTATATTTTTTATTTTTAAAATTTTTTTATATAATATTAATGTTATTAATTTTTTACATTGTTAATAATATTTCAAATATTTAGTTATTATTATCATTTTAAAAGTAAATTTAGTTTTAGATAATAATTTATCCAATTAAATTTTTAAAAAATGGGTTAATTTGGACTTTAATAATGATTTGATTTATATTATATGCGTTGATATTTTTAAACTATATATATATATTTGATAATAGAATATTTTTATACTTATATAACTTGTGATTCTATAATTTGAATTAGAAATTCATGAGTTTTAACAGCAATGTTTCTCACATTAAAGTAAAAAATAGTTAGATTGCAAAATTTAAAAATAAAATTCTTATAAAGAAGAAAAACTTGATATTTTTGTTACGAAAGAAAAGTATACTTATGAAGAAAAGTAATTAATTATAGTGATGATGAAGTTTCAAAAGATTAATAATAGTGTTTATTTATTGCACAATTGCATTATAGATAAAACTTTTAGATGTTGTTATCTTGTTAATGAATGTTTTAGATGTTGATGAATATTTATATATGATGATATTTTATATGTGACTTAATTTTATTCATATTTATGTTTTTTATTAATAATTTCATTGATTTATTTTTATAAAAATATGATAAATATAAAAAATAGTATTTTTTCTTAAACGGGCCAAAAGCCCGCGGGCCGGCCCTGGCCCTGTAGCTTAAGGGCCGGGCCTAGCAAATTGGGGTATTTTTAAAATTTCAGCCCTGGAGGGCCGGCCCTTTTAAGCCGGCCAGCCCTGAAGGGCCGGCCCTTTTAAGCCGGCCAGCCCTGAAGGGCCGGCCCTGATTCCCGGCTCTACCTCCCCTCCTTTTTAATCAAACCAAACAAGGTGAGGATGAAACCTTCCCTCCCCTCAAACCAAACAGGCCCTAAGGAAATTTGAAGTATGGGGCAGCACAACAGTATTATTAGAAGTGGGCTCCACCATGAGGCCTCACCCGCCATTTCCACCGATTTCTCATCCTTTTCAAGACTCCACTCATTTCTTATTCCAACGATAATAATGTCTGCAAGGGATAAGAACAACATCTATTTTGTTCACCAAACAAAGAAAACATCTGCTTGGAGTGCTTTGATCGATTTCGTCCATTGTCCCACTCCCCCCCCCAAATGCGGTCGTTCCAAACACTTCTCAGTTTCAGTCAAAATTCACTTCATTTACATTGGTAATAGACTTTATGACATCTAAATTTAAATATGCACAAGGAATCCATTTGCTTTGTGGAGAAAAAATGACTTAAATCAACAACTGGCTCCAGGATCAAAGGTAAAATAAATAACGGAGAACGAATCTTCTCTTCGTTTGCGGCAAAATCTGCTGTGTGGAGCAATCGTTCTTTAACTTAGAAGTCCATGCTTGTATAACTTGTCACTGCCTTCCACCGGTGATTGATTTAGCGTTGGCTGCCTTTTGAGACGGTCTGCTACATTTGAAGCCATGACGGCATCAGCATTCCAATACCAGGGTTGAAGATAAGGTGAATCAATAGTAGAGGACCATGAAGATGGATGAAGCATAACAGAACCCCAATCTCTAGTTCCACGCTTCTGTTCCCTTATCCTTCTCCTGATTAACAAACCTCCCACGTCTTCTTTTTTCATTTCTGATACACTTTTCAGTATTGAAATGCAAAGGAGAAGCGCCAATGCTGCATCTTCTTCCGGCAATAATTCAACAACCAATAGCCTCCAATTCAGAAGAGCCGTCGCTTTTCCATTTGGGTTCTCTTCTGTGAAACGGACAAGTGTTACAAATCCTTCCTCATCTTCTTCCCCCTCCTCCTCCGTTTGGGTTTCTTCACCTTTGCTTTTTGATTTTGATTTTACTTGATATTGCCTTCGCCTGCCTTTCAATAACTTCACCTGCAATCGAGGTTTATAATTTAGGCCAACTTCAAGAACCTGAATAAATATTGTTATACTGTGCATTTCATAATGGTAGCTGAATTGAGAAAGTCTGTTCTGTACCCATGACTCTGGAGATGTTTGATTTGTCAAACTAAAGCTGAGACCCGACAATGACAGTGATGCTTCCCACCGTATAATTAGTTCATCCCCTGTTGAAAAATGCCATGCAGCTTTCCATTGCTCTCCCGGTTCTTTTGGTGTTGCTGTGGCTACCACCTTCTCTGCACTAGACAGAAGAAAATAAATAAAAGAGAATTACTTCTGAACCAATCTGATTTCACAAGATGAATAGTACAACCTATTCGATGCCCCCAAGATGATTAAGGAAACGATATGACAAACACCGCTATCAAAGACTATAATATTTATGACGTAGACAAAACATACCAGGAGCCCTCCCGATAGAGCCTGAAGCCACATAAGACCAAGATCCTTCTCGTATCTCTATGATCCTATCTTCCCATTTCACAGTTGAAGGAGTTTCAGCTCCTCTTCTCCAAAACCCTCCTCCTACCCTGCACCTCAAAACATTCCCTTCTAATTAAATAAAACATGCACAAAATGGTGTTGAAGCAGTAGGAAGTATCGAGTTGAGTATTAACCTTAATTAGCAATTATTTTTGAGTACCAAGGTACAGTTATAAAAGCTCACCTAATTCTGATGACAAAACACTCCCTCCCCGCATGATCAAGGACTGTGCGAGACAACCAACGACCCTCTTGAGGGCGATAATTATTCATCTTTAGAATCACTTCAGAAATCATTGCCCCTGAATCATCTGTGACTCGATCGGGCACACATTTCAAAAGGTATGGAGCCTGAACCGGTGGGGAAATTGAAGTAACAACAGTCACGTGCCCATTAAGTTCCTTTTCCAAAGTCAGAGAGTTAGCTCTCAACAAGTCATTCCAGAGGAACGTCACAGTGTCGTGGAGGCTACTTCTTCTTATACAGTTACCCCCATGACCACGACGCTCAAGTATGACTCCCTTGGTCCCAAACTCACAGTAAATTTGCCAGGCCTTTTCCCATGAATCAAAGAGGAGACTGGAGAAGGCCTTATCCAGCTTTAGCTCACTATGACACCTCACCACTCGTAGGCGTAGGAAATCACGATTTATATCCTTTTGCAATGCCTTTGTCCTCGAATTAAGCCTCAAAAACACATAAACCTGCATCGTAAAGTCAAGATGCACTTTATCATTATAATGTGCTCATGTATTTTCATGAAGTTTTTCGCTTCAAATGCCACATACAAAGCATATAGACATCGGCTTCGGGTAGAGCTTTCTAGGACAGGAAAAGATACTACAAGAGACCAGAAAGCGTGAGAGGGATCACAACAGTTCAGAGGACGAGGAGGAGAACAAAAAATTGACCTCAAGTAAACATCTTGGAAGCATGGACTTGTATTTTGCATTGACATCTGTGTCTGATTCCTCCCAGTAGACTGGAGAGTTCACTGTTGCAAATTTATCCAATGCAAAAGCCACCCCTCCACCAGCTTTCTCATAAGGTTGGTTAAATGCCCTGTCCCATAACTCCTCGGTCACTTTAACATCTTCTTCCTGGGGGGTTTCCCATAAAGTTGCCACCTTCCACATATCATCCTCCAAGCCCAACGCTTTTAAATCATCCATATACACTGTTGGGTAGCTCTGCTCCATTCAGAATTTTAGAGCCATTAATAGAGTCATTCAAGGAGAAAACTAAGCAAGTATAAAGATAATCAATCAGAAAGGTAAAATTAGTAGACAAGTGAATATTTTATAAAATGTGCCAAAATCAGATTAGTTATAAAACTAATATTCAGGAATCTCCTCAAAGAATTGGTGTTCAATTTTCCATTACCGATTCAGCATGGTCAAATAGAACTACTTAACCAAAAAGTAGAAGTTACGGCTGAGGTGATGCCTTCAATAAGTATTGATGAGAATTATCATTCAATGACTAATTGGTGAAAATTTAAACTAATAAAGCATTGCAAGCCTATAAACCTTATTTAATGTTTTTGGTGATGGTGCCGGAAATCGGAGCCTTGGGCAAGGAAGGAAATATTGTAGCAAACAAATTGTCCCACTCCAATTTTGAACCGGGGACGTCTCATTGAGGAGGTGTTTGGATAGAAACCGAACCATAGTTTCAGAAGTGTTCTTATGGTTTATGAAATAAATATGTGGAGAAATTTGTCTCGTTTTGCGAAAAAGTACTTTTAAAACCATAATTTGGAGGTTGCCAAAATCAGTTTTCTGATAGTTTTTGACATAAATGTAAAGTCAACTCGTGTCACTTCTCTGAAATTACTATATTAGAAAATAACATGTTATCGAACAAACAGAAAACGGACAAGACTCAATTTCTAATATCTTTTTCTTTTTTGGGACTCGTCACTCTTGAAATTCGCTTAGTTTCTCGGACCCCAAAAAAAAAAAAAAAAACAACTTAGCTTCTCAGCCCATCCTTGAAGATTCCAGTTTCACAAGCAAGAAAAGGTATCTGACGCAAAACTACTTTCTTCCAGCTCTTCGCTAGTATTTCCCTTTTCTTTTTTTCTTTCTTTGTTTTTTTTTCATCTTTCATCTTTCACCAAATATTACTTAGCATGCGTTGTGCCTAAAACCTTTGGTTGGAGGAAAGGATAATCAAATCGAAAAAAAAAAAGGACCATGACCTGGAGGCTCAAAAGATAACATAAAGAAGGCAAGTATTATATTGTAGAAGATGCCCAAATTGCTATTCCAACAACTACAAGGAAAACAACAAGTGGGAGTAATTAACACACCTGGTGGGTCAGCCACATTAACATGATGTCCGAAGTAGGTACCAAACGGCAAGACCCATCTGCGAACCTCTGCACCGTATGCAAAAATGCCTTGTATCTCTGTCTTGCAGCTATTAAGTACACAAGCTCCGACCTGTAAGACTCTGGAAACTTAGAGTGCAACATCCTATGCTTTGCGACTTCCTGAAACAAGTCATCTTCATTTTTAACAACCAGGGAATCTGAATTCGCTTCATTCTCAAATGACTCTGTCGGGTATTTACGGTTCCAAATTTCACGGCATCTCATCAACGCGTACTCTTCATTTTCCTCGTCGAAAATTGCCGGTCTTCCTATGATTTTTGAGAATTTCGTCTCACAGTATTCCTTGTAACTTACCTGAATCATTTCCAAAATTAGACTTCAGTACTTTCAGTTCAATTGAAGTGAAGATAACCAAAAGTAAGAGCAAATTGCGGGCATATAAAGCAACGAACAAATTTTCCTCCATCTTCCACTCTTAGCTTCTTGCCCGTTATTTAGAGGGAAGAAAGAACCTACCGGGTTTAATGTGTGACAGAACCAAACCCAGTCGACATCGAAGGGAGGAAGAATCATGGGAGGGGATGAACCAGGCGGCGTCAGATCAGAAATCAAGGGCATCCACAACTCATGATACCTGAGAAAAGGAAAATCCGTCAAGAGCCACCATGAGATTAGATGAGAAGAAGGGGGCTGAAAGAGTCGACCTTCTGACGGCTTCAGCGAGGGTGGAAGTGTGGTGAAGGAGGAGGTGAAAGTCGGCGACAGTTCTCAAGAAGCCGATATTTCGTCTGGCAGCCGACACGAGATCCAGACCGAAACGTATCGCGGCGATATCGGGGATCTCGGTCAGGCTTCTCGTTGAAACTTGGGATTCCGACATTATTACCGTAGGAAGACTAAAAGTAAGAGGACCGCAGGAAAAGGGATCAGCGGAATCCGAAATAGTGGAAGAGATGGAACTGTGATTGAAAACACCATAACGGTGATTACAGAGCCGAGTCGCAATAACTTCCTCCACCGACTGCCAAAAGAGCGTCAGCAACTACCATTGGAGTATGGAGATGAACCAAGATGCAAAGGTCACTCCAAATGTTTTAGATCCCGGCGTAGAGTGGAGAGCGGAGAAGGAAGAAGCGTTGATTGATTTGAGAAGCGGTCAAAAGATGACGTTGAGCAGCAAAGGGAATAAAGGATGAGACACGAGCTTTTGTGTGAGGAGGATCGTGGATGTGTCGGGAAGCGGACAGCAGATTAGATTGGATCATTCCATTCAGTGCTGTTTAAAGTGTAATCATCACTTCAACGCTCACCGTTAACAATAAAACACTTGATTTGCACGTGAAAGCCCATTCAACACCCACTCCTTGCGACACTCGACTGTGCGCAAATCAGACAACTCCTCGTCTTTATTCTGGTTCCTTTTATTTATTTATTTATTTTTAAATGAAGTTGATCACCTGCTCAATTTGTTTTGATCAAATTCCATATCGAGTTTGTAGCCGCCTTGGTTAAAATATAGGGGGTTATGAAATGAATGAACCCCACCCGTCGTTGATTCGCCGGACTCGTACTAGCATCCTAGGAATTAATATGTTGATTCTTCTACGGCAATCAAAATCGAAAAGTCAATATGAAGAAGAGAAAAGTGGAGACACGCGCGACTTGCATAATTGCACTACTCAATTTACTGTACACGAGACAGCAACGTCAATGAGTATGATAATACGCTGAGCTCCTCTTGACAAGATTCATTCTGTATTGCTTTATTTGGCGAGATCAAGTGAGATTATTATGAAGAAATAAATGAAGGGAAGGTGGGTCGACGGATGTAATGAGAGAATAAAGAGAAGGGTATGGTATTAAAAAGGTGTCTGGATGTGTACAAAAATATTTTTTTATAAATTAAAATAAACTCTTTTACTCATTTTTTTTATATATCAAAAAATTACTTATGATTTGATTTTTATCCAATCACTCATAAAAAAAGTGGAGTGAATTTGAAGGCCGGGAATGAGGATTGAGGAATGAGGACAGATGAAAGCATGCCAGGGGAAGAAGAGACGAGAGTGAAGAGGGAGGGGAGAGAAGAGATTGGGTGGCGAGATGGGGACCCACACCAGTGCTTGAAATATACCAACCTCCCCAGGGAAAAGAAGACGACACGTGGCGTGCTGTGGTGCGGATGGAATTCATGTGTATCAAGGATGGGAGAGCAATAAGAACACGTGAATGTGAAGAGTTGTCCGCGGCATAAGTAGCCGGCTGGTAGTCAGTTAGAGTGCTCCGCCTCCACCGCCATCCTCTGATTTGCCGCCATGGAGCACCGGAAATCTGGAATGCGTGGTATTCACCAACCTCCCCCTCCACATAATCTCAAGTTTAATAGCATGAGTTGTGGGGAGATGTTCATTTTTTATTTATTTTGTAGAGGAATAAGTGTTTTGATTGGTTTATCAAAAATAAAAGTGAAAAGACACTTTCTTCCGAACACTATAAATATCAAAGCCCTTCTATGAGCTTAAGAGAAAGGGCCCTAAAACAAGTCCATTTTCTTAGCACAGCTTTCAACTAAAATAGTCATGATTTTGTTGGCTTGTGTTTGTCCAGTGATTCCTGCCTTCCTATTATTAATCAACCAGTCTGTAAGAATATGTATTTAAAAAACCATTTCTTTGCCACCAAAACCATTTATAATAAACTAATTATAAATTATAGGATATAAATTAACATAATTAGATTTTCCGGCAAAATCGTAATTAGATTTGACATTGAATTTAAACTAAATAATTGTTACCGTAGAGGCAAAGAGACGATAAGAATAATAAAATAATTGCTTATCTCTACTCTGTTGGCCGTTGTCGTCCCGGAAGTGGAAGCAGGTGAGAAGAGAGGAAGATAGCGTAATTTGTTGACCGCGCCCTTGACGAGTTTAGTTTCCGATTAGCGTGAAAATCGCTCGTTATGATTTATGGCCTTTTTTTTTTTTTTGATACAACGCTCAGTATGACCGATGGCCATCATCATTTACAATTACGAGTCCCACCGTATGAGACAAAACCCACCAGTCTATATATGCATACCACCTTTTCCGTCAGGGAAATGGTTACTGTTCAAAGGATGTCATTCACAAAATACCCACAGATGGCGTAGTAAAATCACTACATCAGGATTGTTGTTTATTTTCAGATCCATCGTCGTATCAGCGTAGAGTCCAAGATCATCCAACTAACTAACTTAGAAAGTAAAGACTGATCAAACATACAGATAAGTGGAGGAAAGCTCAGATAGATGTGAGAAGTTATACTCCCAGACCTTGCGAAAGGCCTCGTAGTGAGCTGGGAAAACACAAATATCATCATCGCAACTGGCCCATTGGCAACCACGCAGGTCACTCAAATAACCTTATCGCATCTATATCCGAATGCATCAACAGATTGCTTGCATTAGAAATTTAAAATAACCCCCTCACATATAAACCCAAATAAAACAAGAAGATCAAGGAGACGCGGACCGCAGAAGAAGAAGCACGCTGGAAGAGAAAAACATTGGTATTTATAGAGAACGTCTAGGGCTAGGGTTAGGTTTGAGTGAGAAACGGCAAAAAAAAAAAAAAAGATCAGGTGAAGGCCTGGTCCGATGTAATGGGCCTGACCTCAAGACCCTCAACAATGAGGCCGCCTTTCAAATGGACGCCTTTGACCTCCTTGAAGGACATTCTAACCTCATTATCTCCCCCGCCTTCGTTGAAGAAACTCCCCAGCGCTATCTCCAGCCAATCGTCTTCTCGCTTACAAGGCCATCTCCCTTCTCCTCCTGAGGTTGAGCCTCTTGTTCTCTCGCTGTTTCTCGCCTCCTTCTCCTTCAGTGGCCATCTCACATAAACATTCCCTTTTGACTTGAAATTACTAAACTCCACCGACACCTCCGACGGCAGCGAGTCCAATCCGTATGCTCGATCCGCCACTTCACTATCAGAAACGCTCCGTATATCGTTCTCGGCGATAGCATTGCGGCGTCCATGCTCCCCCTGATTTCTAGCCAGCATATGGTTCTCAGTTCAGCTACTTCTGCAAATCTGCTCCGCACATTTTTCCAATTCAGACCCTACTTTGGAAATGAACTTCAGTTGAGATTACGAGATCTGATAAATTATGATTATGCACAAACCTTGAGGATTGAAAAGGTTTCCAGGACCAATACAGAGGGCTGCTTCCCCACGCAATTGCAAGCTCTCTCGCACTCAGCATGTAGCATATTTTACCCGTTGATTTCTCTATTGAGAATATCTGCTTCATCAACAAGTTTTCAGTATTCCGTTAATTCTATCATATTGATACCAAGATAAACTCAGAGCTCGCTATTTAATTCGGTTAACATATTGCCTGCGATTTTCATCTGAGGGAGATTGCATTACCTTGTTACCCTGATCAATTAGAAGGGGTTTGCTTAAACTGAGAAACAAGTTTTTCTTTGAGGAATAGATCAGGGGAGCTACCAGCCTAGAGAGAATTTCATGATAGTTGGAGTGGTAAAAACTTCTCCCAGATAATGTCTGAATTCGCCATTGATCGCACCATGGACGAAATAAGAGAGGACTTACCAACGTCTCGAGGAGACGTCATGGACAAAATGTGCGCAAAACAATCATCGGGCAGAACCTCCATCGGACGATGCAGACCAGTCAACTTCTGACATAGATGACAGGTGAAAAGTTCTATTTAATATTTATGCTGTGTGCTTGATCCAAGCATATCGCTAATATGTCGACATGAGACATACACATGAGCACATGTATGAGAACACTTGAAGGTCATTGCTTTTAAGGTCAGCGTCATTCTCACACACAACTCATCAAGCAGGAGAAACTTCGAATTGTAGACAATCATCATCAAGGACGAAGAGGTCACTTTTGAAATTCTAAATTTGTCGCATCGATCTCCAAGGCACTCGCGGTTATCAATTGCCAGGGTATTGCATTTTGGCGTTTTCTTTCAAGCTGACCTTTTTTCGAAAAAAGACAATAAAGATAATAATTTAGGGGGTGTCAACTTGATTGAAGCAGCCAGAGACTATTTCATTTTCGCTGGGATCATTTGTTTTTATTCGAATAATTATCTGGACGGTTTTTTTTTCCTATCTAGTAGCACAAACCAAATTGATATGTATCGACTTGAGTTGTATCGTATAGCTACAAAAATCTCTTCATAATAATAATTTTCCTAAAACACGTAGGTGGGCTTGGATGGCTAAAACAGAATAGAATGAATTTGCAACCGCACGCCATCAGAAGATATTTCTGCTAGAAGCGTTGGGATGTTTTCAACAAAAAAAAAGAAGGTGATTTTCGAAAAGTGACATCCTCATAAATTTAGACATTTTTATGAAGGGCTGTGCAAAAGAGTCATCATAATACTAAAAGTCACAGAGATTATTTCCCAACAATACCTGAGGGCACTTTTAGAAAGCCATAAAATTACAAGGAACGGCACAAACCGTTTGGTGAAAGTGTGTGTTATTTTCTTATAAATTATAGCATGTTCATGAAGAATTGCGTATCGGGTTATTGTATTAAAAGTCACAGAGATCGGGTTACTATAATTCTTAAAGACGTCGTCTTCTTTTTTTCACCTGAATCTTAAAGCGTCTTTAGAATGCTCTAAAATCATTTATGGTGTCCTTATAAATTAATGTATTTCTGTGAAAGATTATGCAGGGAATTATAACACTAAGAATCACATCCTCATGTACCAAAATTATTAATTGATGTGTCCTGTTGCCACCAGCACAGAGCGAGAGGGAGTAGCGCGACGACAAAGGGCTTGTATCAAATTTTTAAAATTAATTTTACAAGCAACTGTAAGAATCACTTTTGAAACCACCATAAAATCACTTATACAAGGGTGTTTGGGATAAAAACAGTAATTTTTAAAAACACTTTTCTGTAAATCAATATAAACTCATCCACATATTTATTTTGTATATTATAAAATCACTTTTAAAATCATAATTTTAATTTCATTCAAATATTTTTTTAGATTCGTGTATCGGATTACCAAACACCTCCTAAGTGCAAAAGTTGTGGGTATATCGACACATATGAGCTTTTAATTACTATTAAGGACTCAATGACCCACCACATAGTTGTGGCCCTGTTACATCCGAAGCTTCAGAACTTACAGTATATGCAAATCGTAGAATAATTTTGTAGGGTGCGTCACAACAAATCAAACCTCCTGTTTCCGGAAATCGACTGCGCACATTGATGAATTTCTATATCTGCTCTGCGGGCGCTGGGACATAGTTTAGTGATTTAATCACTTTGGCTTCTACTTGTATGGCCACATTATTGAGAAATCAGCCTCAATAACTTGAGAAGTAACGTGTTTCTTGCTTTACCAAACCAAAGTCGATGAGGATTAAAACATAGAAACTACAGTTCGGTAGTTCACACTGCAGATGATTCTCTGGTGACGTTCGGTTTTGTCATTATCGTCTTGGTCAAACCTGCTTTGGTCTGATCTGAATGCCTTCCAGGATGAGCCCTGCCTTCAATTGATAGCCTGCTTCCATCATGCTCATCTTCACCTCTTGGTCCTCTTCCCCGCTGTCAAATTCCCCCAACTCGATCTCCATCCATCCATCTTCTCTCGTCGACGGAAATTTCTGATCTTCTTCCGTCCCCGGCGACCCCCTCAACATTTCTCTTCTCTTCGATTCCCATAAAACAGAGTCTCCATCTTTTGCTCTCTCTCGCATCTGCTGCACAGATAGGACTTCCCCTTCCTCACCACGTTTCCCCACTTCAACCGTTACTTCCGAAGCTGCACTGTCCAGACCGTACGCTCTGTGAGACACCTTCATTATCAGATAAGCCCCGTACCAAGTGTTGGGTGTCAGAATCCCAGTTCTGACGCTGCATTTAACTTCTAACCAGCTGACTGTTCTGAGATGAGCCACCACCGAGAACCTGCAAATTCATTCATTTAATTAGTACACTCTCAGAAAGTAGTGGCTGAAGGAGTGTGGAAGAATTTAACGAGCGAGACCTAGATTCGGGCATGGGTGTCCAGCTCCATAACATGGGGTCGTTGCCCCACGTGACAGATAATTCCCTAGCAGAGATGATGTAAGATTTTTTACCCGAAGACCTGTCTAATTGGAAGCTCTGCAATACAAAATTGTAAAATCAGAAAACAGAGAGAGACAGGACGAATTGAAAGAAATAAGTAAAGAGAGTTTACCTTGGAGCCACCGTCAATGAGAAATGGGCGAGTGAGAGCGTGGAAGAGGTCTCTTTTGGAAGAGAAGTCAAGAGGAGTGACAGCCCTGGACAGGATGTCGGGGTAGTCAGACGGCAAGAAGGAGAGCCAGAGGAGATCGGAGAGAGCAGGGGAGCGGAGGGAGGAGGAGACGGAGCAGAATCTGGAGACGTCCGCCGGAGAAGTGAAGGAGAGAATGGTGGAGACGCAGTCGTCCGGCAAGGTTCGATGTTAGACATGAGAGGCAACGTTGACGAGAAGGCAAAAGGAAGATGAAGAGGAGGGGGGGGGGGGGGGGAGAGAGAGAGAAGGAAGGATTAGAATATCATGGGGAAGGGGATAGGTATTCATGACTGGGATTTAGGATTAGCTACTTAAATATTTGAGCGCCCTTCTATTGAAAAAAAAAAAAAAATTATCACATCTCGTAGCTGTTTAAATTTAATATAAATAGTGAGATTTATTTTTTTATATTTTTTAATAAGTAATGATTAAAAATAAATATAATTTTTTAACTGTAAAATTTTTTAAAAGTAAGTTTTCACTTAAAATTATTAATTAAATTTTTTAATTTAAATAGTATAAATTTCATTATAATAATAAATATCACAGTTACCATTACCCATGAGGAGACCAAAACTGCTTTGAAAAGTAAAGGGGGAACCCGTGGGACTTCCATACATAGCCGACGGATTCACTCCTTGTCTCGTTGTTCCATTTTCGGCGTTGGCTGGCTGGCCGTGGCCCGCAGCAGCAAGTTGTCATGGGCATAACATCAGTTGATTTCCTGCTACTATTTTTTATCCTAATTATAAAATCTTATTTATAATTTATAAATAAAATGTGTAATTAAGATAGAAGCTAATAACACTTATGGACTCTTTTTCATAAATTACATCTTTATAAATAAAATGTGTAATTAAGATAGAAGCTAATAACACTTATGGACTTTTTCATAAATTACATCTTTTTGCCATCAAAACTAAATCTGGGTTCGTAATAATTGAATCAGCCGCTAACCATTTTGTTTCCGCCGTCACAGGTAAGACCACGATTGCAATTATATAGAATGATCAGATTTAGACTTGAGACTTCATACTTAAACAATCAAAACACTTCCACCGTCCTAATGAGGAAAATTGTTTTGCTTTGATCAGTAAAATTAAAGGAATTCTATATTATTTAGCAAAATTCTAGAAAGATTTATATTTGATTTTATTTTGACAAAGACAAAGGGGATCAATGAATCTGAGCATGAGATGACGACAGGATGCGATGAGGATGAGAACAAACAAGAGAACCGAGGTGGCTGGAATATACTTGTTTTTTATATAAAAGTTTGTTTGATTTCTAATTTAGTCTTAACTATAATATTCTAATCCATTTTATCTTTCATATATATCTATTTTTTAAGATAGTCATTGTAATAGTTACATATGTTAAATATTTCATCGAATAATTAGTAAGAATATTTTATACCGTGTTGGGTTGACGCAGACCCAAACTTATCCTCCCCTAGTCCCCTCCCAAGCTCGGATGGGCTGCCATTTTAGGAAGGTTATGGTGGGTGCTGGTACTAGATATCTCGCAACTTCTCTGTTTTGTTTTATTTATTTATTTTTCCAAAACATTCATTATAATTAAGTTTGTAACGACGATGTCGTTTTCTCCTGGGAATCGGACGTCGATTCTCTATCTACTTTTTATATGAATGGGAATATTCAGCCAGATCTATGCATAATTTTCCTTTTTTTCTTTCCTCAAGGGTGCGTTCTTATTAAGATGTTAAGAATAATCAAATATTAAGTTCGCGGTACTTTGTTTTGCAGGCTTCCATCTAAATTAATTAAATTCTCTCACTAGGATATTATGACGGAACAAGTTATAATTCATTACACATGTCTGACATTTAAAAAACAACACTTTTTATGACGTCGCCTTTGCATTTGGTTGTTAAAGTAAACGATTGAATCCGTAATCAATAAATAAATAGAATGAAAGGAAAGGAGAAGCTCTGATTAAACTATAATATTGCTGGCCCGAAGAATACTGGCCAAATTAGAAAGCGATTTTAAATGCAGGACCGTGTTATGATCATTAGTCGGACTGTGAATCATTCTGAGGAACGATGCGAGGAGATAATCATGGAGACTTGGATGATGGATCCGCTTCTTTCTATTTTTTCTCCCTTCCATTTCTCTTAACTCCTCACGGTGAGTGTAAAATAAAATCTTGAAACATCTAATATTTTATCTTTTTATTATTTTTTTCATTAATTTATATTTAAATAATTGTTTTTATATATATATCAAGTGTAAGCCGTTCAAATTCAATATCAAGTAATTATGAACGATTCAATATTCAAAAGTTGTGAGTCCGTTAGCATAGATGCCCTCGTCAGGGAGGACCAGTGACCCACCACCACTCAGTGCCACGTACAGTGACAATCAGGACTGTGAGCAGTTCTCTGACTCGTTAATCCGCTGTGCTATTTAGGAAACTTCGAAATTACGCTAATGAAAATCTTAAAAATGATATGAATGGTGCGTCAGAACGTGCAAATCAATCCTGGCCCCCTGGTTCCGGGATTCGACTGCGCAAATTTCGGTAGAAATGAAAAACTAGTTTCTATATGGATAATTCATGGGACTTGAGACATGGTTTAATAAACCGCGTCGATTATTGAGTCCCACCGTTTGGAGAAATAGCATGTGTCATGGCTTTACCGAACAACAGAAGACGAGGATAAAAGCAACATCACATCTGCTCTTTAATATAAACATTAGTTAACTAATTTAAATATATTAAAAAAATTAGTTAAATTAATTATTTATAATAAATAGAAACTATTTTTTCTAGAGTATTCTTATTAATTAAGTGTATTAGTTAAAACTATCATTATTATAAGAATTTTTTCAAAATAAATAAATAAATATAAAAAATAAAATAGATTGAAATTTTATATTTAGAACAAAAATAAAAATAAAATGAGTTCTTGTATCAAGAATCAGAGATAAAAAGATACTCATAGTACACATCTACTCCATTTATATGTGTGTGAAGAAAAATGTAAAATTCATGTATCATGTTTTTTTTTTTTCCAGTTTTGTCCGCCACTTAATCTTGGATATTTTTATTTGCGCACTCCATTTTTTTTTTACCAGCATTTAACGCACTCCATTTAACAAGATATTATTGAACAAAAATAATAATTACATGCTCTGAAATTTTTGAAGACAAAACAGGAGTACGCAGGGGGAGCATATACACTGTGGACCTATTCTCACACGGTGCGTTTGGTACTGTGATCATGGTTTTGGTCTGAACTGAATGCCTTCGACGATAAGTCCTGCTTTTAGTTGATATCCCACTTCCCTCAAACTCATCTTCACTTCTCGGTCTTCTTCCCCGCTGCAGAACTCCCCTAACTCGATCTCCGTCCACCCGTCTTCTCTTCTCGAAGGGTATTTTTCATCTTCTTCCCTCGCCGACGACCCCCTCAACATCTCTCTCCGGTTACTATAAAATAGACTCTCCATCTTCTGCTTTCTCTCGTCTTTCTCGCACAGATAGGCCTTCCCTTTCTTCACCATGTTTCCCATTTCCACCGTTACTTCCGAAGCAGCACTGTCCAGACCATACGCTCCACGAGACACCTTCAATACCAGATAAGCCCCGTACCAAGTGTTGGGTGTGAGGATCCCAGTTCTGATTTTGCATTCTATTTCCAACCAGCTCACTCTTCTGAGATGAGCCACCACCGAGAACCTGTAAATTCATTCTTGTCAGAGTGGCTGGTTCAAAGTAGTATAGCTGACGGAATATGGAAAGAATTTTATATAGCGAGACCTTGACTCGGGCATGAGCGTCCAGCTCCATAACATGGGGTCGTCGCCCCCCGTCACAGACAATTCCGTAGCTGATAAGATATAACATTTTTTACCAGACCACTTGTCTAACTGGAAGCTCTGCAACACAACACTGGAAAAATAGAGAAGGAAGAGGGACAGAAGGAGTTGAAAGAAATAAATTAAGTTTAACAGGGTTTACCTTGGAGCCATTATCAATGAGAAATGGACGTGTGAGAGCGTAGAAGAGGTCTCTTTTGGAGGAGAAGACAAGAGGGGCGACAGCCCTGGAGACGATGTCGGAGTAGTCAGAGGGCAAGAAGGAGAGCCAGAGGAGATCGGAGAGAGCAGGGGAGCGGAGAGAGGAGGAGACGGAGCAGAATCTGGAGACGTCCACCGGAGAAGTGAGGGACAGAATGGCGGAGACACAGTCCTCCGGCAAGGTATGGATGTTAGACATGAGAGGCAGTGGGACAGGGGGACAGTGGTTGTCTGAAGGTTCAAAATAAAAGAATAGGAATAGAATGAAGGGGAATCGGTTAGGGAGTTCCATATATAGCAACTCGCCAGTCTCCAATGGCCCCCTGTTTGTTCCATTATTATACTACCTCCGCTAATTAATACAAGATTTTATTTGATTTTTATTTTAGTTTTAAATATAAGATTTTAATATATTTTATTTCTCATGTTTATATTTTTTTTCTAAAATAGTTATTCTAATAATGATAATTCTAATTAACACACTTAATTAGTAAAGACATTTTAGGAAAGACAACACATATTTATTACAAATAACTATTTAATTTTTTTTAATCTTTTTAAATTAGTCAACTAGCTTTTATAATTAGAACGGGAGGTAGTATTATATTTTTGGCATTGACACACCGTGGCTAGGGTCAATTTGCGGAGGCGGTCTTTGCATTGGATTATTTTTCATTTTTTAAAAACGCCTGTTTTGGAAGTGCATATACGGGGAAGGGCGGAAGGCGCATAGGAGCTTCCTCTTCAATTTACGAAGCGGCATGTGATTCTTTAGTTAATTTTAATACCAGGGAGAATGATAGGCTCGTTAATAAAGTTATGTTAACAGGTTTAACAGAGAATAAAAAATTAATTTAATAACAGTTGCGTTTCTATTTTTTAAAAATAAAAAATGAGCTGTAAATATGAATTTAAACAGTTATCAATGGGAGAACGTGAGTAAGACACTTGTATATTTTTACGACCAACCTATTGTTAAATGGATTGTTTAGATCTAGCTAGGTAGCATTCCCTACCAGCTTGGCCAGAAAGTGAATACTGTGAGTGCAGTTAACAATTCTAAATTCATGCCACCTGACCCGACCATATCCATCGGATACAGTGAGCCCAGCATAAGTTCGATATTTCGTAATTTATAGATATTTACAAGACTAGTTAATAATTTGTAAAGCATTAGTGTTCATTTTCTTAAATCATTTTTTAAAAAATTTAATCATCTTTTAATTTTTAACTCAATTATGATTCAGTTTCTTAAGAATGAGCTGGTCTCTCGATTTTTAACTAGATCATAACTCAGTTCTTAATATTTTTCTATTCAATAAATTAATCCTTAGCACAGCTATCTTACCTTTGAGTCATCACCCAGTAATACCTCACTTTCATTGCATCTCAACATTTTATACATCCACATGCTATCACAATTCAAACTGAAATGGATCATTTTGGACACGCATGTCCTCATTCTTGCCCGGTATTGTGGACACGGGGACCGCTTAGTCGCGACTCCTGTCCCTGTCATCAATTATGCCCTTGTAAATAATCATCCTGCCATAACAATTCTGCGTCTAAAGATCTACAACACTCAATCCCAAATCCCAACCTACATGGTAAAGGATGCTGCTGCCCAGGTTCCAAATAAGCTCCAGGTTTCATCACTCCGTCTTATAATTAGAATCAAAATTAGTTTTTAATTAATTTTCGTATTCAGAATGGATATGGGTATATTTCAAATAAAAATACTCCCTTGGTCCTTAATTAATACTCCCTCCGTTCCTTATTATAAGAGACAAATAACCGAAGTACGTTGATCAAAAAAACAGTTAAAATTAGTTAAAAACAATTAATGTGTAAAAAGTATAATTTTTTTTCCAAAAATGCCCTCATTAATAAGGAGAGAGAGCATGAGAGAGAACAATTAAATTATTAAAAGAAAGAGAAGTGGGAGGGAGAGAGAGTGTGAGTTGGAGATAATAAATATGGGTAAAATAGTAAATCAACACAAAAAAGTAAAGACAACTTGTAAGTGTCTCTTATATATAGGAACATGTTATAAGCATCAAATGTCTCTTATAATAAGAAACGGAGGGAGTACTATCTCTGGTCCTAATTATAAGAGCCAGTTGACTAATTTGAGGAGATTAAAGAAGTAAGTTGAGTTAGTTATTTGTCCTAAATAGGTGTTGTTTTTTCTAAAATATCCTTACTAATCAAGTGTATTGACTATAACTATTATTGTTAGAAGGGTTACTTTGGAAGAAAATGTATAAATATAATAGACAAAGTGGATTGGGGTTTTATATTTATGACCAAAATAAAAGTCAAACAGGGTCTTATATTAAGGATCAGAGGTAGTATAAGACCTAATTGTTAAGTTAATTTTGATCATAAATATAATATCTATTTCTTATACTTATTAATTTTTTTAAATTATTCCTATGGATATTTCTTCAATCATAATCAATTAAGTGAGGAATGAAGGATATTAAGAAAGATGATTATAGTGTTTGAAGAAAAATATGTCATACTTTTTATAATTAACTAAATTATTTAAATTTTTAAATCTAATCAAATTAATTAAATATATTTTATATTAAAGATTAAAAGAGTAATAAACTACACGGACTGACATAGAAACATCCTTTAAAATGTTGGTGGAGTTTCAAATATATTTCGTCTACTTTCTTGAGTTCCGTACCCAGCCGTTAGCCGCTGGGTTTTAGCAAATAGGGCTTTCGTTGAATCACCCTGTGCAAGGAATAGACAGATCATTGACGTCCCGGTGAACATTATCACGAATATTAGTATTATTTATAATTCAGAGTATTTCTAAATCATTCTGGGTTTAAAACCAATTTTTATTGAGCAAAGAGTATTAAAATTAAAGTTCTCTCAATATGTATGTTTTTTAGGGATTTGAACTTGTGTTTTATTTTTTATAAAAGTAATATAACTTTTCATCTTAACCAGTCATCACATCTTTTTTTCCTTAAATTATCTGTTATATGTTAATTACAAAATTTCATGGGGCCTAAAAAACGGGGTCGAGACTTTTTTTTAAGACAACGTCAAGCCCAAAATGACATAATAGTTCGGGCGCTTGATATAAAAGTTAGTTAATTATGTATAAAAAAAATTAGTTAATTAATTTAAATGGATTAAAAAAATTAATTAAGTTGGTTATTTGTAATAAATAAATTTTTTTCTTTCCTAATATGCTCTTGCTAGTTATATGTATTGGCTAGAACAACTATTTGATAAAATATTTAATATATACAACTATTACAATGATTATCTTGAAAAAATTGTATAAATATAAGAGAGAAAATATATCAGAATCTTATATTTATAATTAAATTGAATGTTAAACCAGGAGCTAATATTATTGTTTGACCCTGCTGAGTTTCATACCGAGTTAACAGGAGTCAAACCAGTCCTTGAGCCGAAATGCTGGAATCATTTACTTGTTGGGTTGTGTCTTAGGCTGATGCCTACCCCAGCTCAACATGGCCCGCAATCCAAATGGCTAATCCAATTATGACCTTTGAACATCATTCAAAATTCAGACTCGGTATTCATATTATATATATAGGCGCGCGCGCGCGCACACATATAGAATGATATGAAAGTGGACTCTCCGTGATTATACTTCTATTTTATCTAATTATTCAGTATATGTGCATAATTTGATACAAACGGTTGGATTGAAGGTTGAGAAGCTGTAAATTAACATCACATGTGGAAGTATATGTGATAATTATTTTTATCCCCTCCACGCCTAGCTTGGATGGAAAAAGAGTTAGAGATAAAATAATACTACCTCTAGTTCTAATTATAAGAGTCCGTTAACTAATTTGAAGAGATTAAGAAAGTAAGTTGAGTTAGTTATTTATCCTAAATAGGTGTTATTTTTTTAAAAATATTCTTACTAATCAAGTGTATTGACTATAACTATCATTGTTAGAAGGGCTACTTTGAAACAAAATGTATAAATATGAGAAATAAAATGAATTGGGCTCTTATATTTAAGACCAAAATAAAAATCAAATAGAGTCTTATATTAAGGACCAGAGGTAGTATTAGGAAAGACTATGAAAAACAGCAAAGGTTCCTAGTCCCTTCTATTTCTGATAACATATTTGTCATCCATATTCAAATTAACATATCTAATTTAATCAAATGTTATATATTAATATTTTTTAATTAATAGCTTTTACATTAATAACTGATATGGGTATTATTTTTAGAAGTTTTTTTTTTTTAAGCACTCTCCAACTCAACTGCCTCTCATTTTTCCAAAAACGATTGTGTTTATTCAAACCCAGAAGACCGGCAGTGGCTTTGACCTGTGATTTGAGACCTCTCCCATTCAAAATGGAAAAGCTATTACCAGAAACAATTTGTCGTCTGCAAACGCAGTGTCCAGCAATTTTTGACTGGCAATTAGAGATATATGCTCCCGCGAAATTATTTATTAAAATTCGCATAACTAAACAATAATTTAAGCACTCCGCTTTGAATAGATGGCTGGAAAAACCATATCAGTATAGTCAATGGGATGTTTTTGTCATTCCCACCACATATGAATTAATGTGGTGATAGCAAATAGTTTTAAATAGTACTCCTCCGATTCTTAATATAAGACTCATTTAATTAATTTGATCAGATTAAGGAAGTTAGGTAAGTTAGTTAATTACAAGAAATGTGACACGTTTTTCCTAAAATACCATAATCATATTTTTTAATGTCTCCTCTCCCTCTTCTACTCTATTATGGTTGAGGGAGCATTCATAATGGTATTTTAGAGAACATTGATAAATATGAGAAATGATTCTTATATTTAAAACAAAAATCAACTCAACAACTAGGTCCTATATGAAGGACTAGAGGAGTATATAACTTTACATCGAAGAACAAAGAATGGCCCATTTCTCATATCCAAGGTTTTTAAGAATAAGGCATTTATGAAATCAGTCCTTATGCATAATTTTTATTTTATTTTGAATCTGGTTAAAATTGAATGAGAATTTTAGGTTTTATAGCATACCTTATTTTTATACGATTAAAAAACTTATATTAAAAACTATGCCTTCTTATTAATTTTAACAACACCTGATTTTATTTTTTTTTATTTTTAATCTGCATACGATAATGAAACAAATCTTCTCTCTGTAAATATAGTTATTGCAATTTTTTTATACGCTGGAATGGAATTATGGAAGTCTCAACTTCATTATGATAATGGGCCAAGTTTACTGGGCCAGCCTAAAGGGTGCAAAGTCCATAAGTGCAAAATGCCCGATGTGGGGCTTCGGCGCCATATTTTTTTCCCTCTAAAAGAACTGAACCGTTTGCGCCCGCGTTAAATACCATATCCGTCTCCCCGTGGCATTCAAGTGATCGTGCATCCTCGTTTCTCTTCGTCCATCCATCCATGGCAATTAGACTCCACCTTAGACCTGCACCTTTGATCTTTCCCTCCTCGAATCTTCCTTCACTGTGTTTCTCTTCTTCAAACTCCTTGAACGGCCCTTCCGCATCAGCCTTCTTGAGCCCCTTCCCTCGAACAATATCCCAACGCTTGAACCCTCCTCTCATCCTCTCCCGAAGGCTTTTCCTTCCTTCAGTCTCCGGCATCTGGGACGCTTTAACCGGAGGATCTAACAATGCTCATGAAGCCGTGCTTTCAATTCGACGTGGAATGCTTCTCTTCAGGCGGGTACTCTTCACTTTCTTTTGCTTTGCAGCTTCTTTCTCATTCTTCCTCCGCTAGGCTTTTTGCAAATCCCGTATCTGTCATTCTTCTGGTTCCTTTTATCTGTGAAGGGTGATGTCCCGGGGTCTTTGGCGGAGTTCGACAAGGCAATTGAGTTGGACCCTCGTCAAAAGGCATGTAGGTTTATAAATTTTGGGAACGCTTATGTGAATTTGGAATATTGATATTTGAGCCAATTTACATGGAACTGGTTATGGACATTTTGGTTGGTACCAGATCTTTGGCAAAGAGGACTATCGTTGTACTATCTCGATAGGTACTGATACTATATATTTGGCTTTCGATTTTCCTAAATACTAATGCTAGCCTCTGGGTTTAGCATTTATATCTCATTTACTTTAGCCACCTTTCCGCTTAGGAGAAACATTCTATCATCAATGTCGTTCTATGAAATATAAAACTACTCTCTGCCTGACCGAATTAAGATTTTGAGTTCATCTCAAAATAGATTTGAAGAAGGCGCGGAGCAGTTTCGGTTAGATGTTGCACAAAACCCAAATGATACGGAGGAGTCCATATGGTGCTTTCTGTGTGAAGCTCAACTATATGGAGTGGATGAAGCAAGGAAGCGATTTCTTGAGGCATGCCATCCATTACTAGGACTTTGACATGAAATTGAGCATACATACGTTCATAGAAAATATCCGCTAACTAATTGAATTCAGGTTGGCAGAGACCCACGGCCTGTCATGAGGGAAGCATATAATATGTTTAGAGATGGCGGGGATCCTGAGAAGGTACGCTTTGCTTTTGATGTTTCCCGACTCATAATGCAATTCATCTAAGAGAGCTAGACCTCATATAACCGGGTTACCCAGTGATCATGTTAGATTTTTCTGCAAGATTTCAATGGTAGAGCTAGACCTTGTTAAACAGCACTACAATAAGTCTGACCTAATAGCAATCCGAATCTGAAATATTGTTTATGTTTGAACAAAGTGTTGCTGTTGATCTTCTCTCTTAAAGTTTACTTGGTACACAACGAGGGTTGACAGGGGAACGCTGTCTAGTTTGTGGTTTTGCATGTTTATTCATAATTCAATTGAAAATTGTCTCATCTTACTGATCTTAGGATAAGGGCACTTTATTTACCGTTTGTTCCTTGTACTATAATTTACAATTCACCTTCGATTTGTGGTCGGTTAGTTTGCAGTAGATATAAATTTTCTATTCCCCTGCACAGAAGGCCACATACATACATGCATGCATTTTAAATCCCGCGACTCTGTTGTTATTCAGATACCTATTTGAAATTCTAGAACAATATCTCACACAAGCAATTGATATTTTTGACTAGCTTGCGGCTGCGTTTTCCCAAGGCGGAGAAAATGAGTATTTTTATGCTTCACTATATGCCGGGCTTTATTATGAATCTCAGGTATTCTGGCAACTTATTAATTTTCCCTGTATTTTTTATCCCCACGACAATGATATTGTCATTGAACAATGAATTAGAAAACAAACAAAAACAAAAGAAGCATGACCATCTTCACGGGACTGCTGTTGCTTTCAGAGGGCATGACTGATGGAGATCATGGTCTCATGTTGGCGTGATGTAGATCTATGACTCTAAGTCAATATGGAGATCTTTCTTTACGATTTAGTACTACTGTGTTAATTAGAATATTATTCTAGGAACGACAATTTAGAAAAGCATCAGTATCTTTTCTCCTTGAGATAAGGGCTGTCAGATGTTTATTGTCCAAATCAATTTGAAAGTGTCCTCACTTCGCATGAATCAACATATCTTTTCTCTGCATAACTATTTTTAGAGGGCGCTTCTTTTCTTGGACAGTTGTGGATCGCTCAAAAGATTTGTGCTTGAATTTCAGGCCCTGATTTTGCTCCGTTTTATGAACCTCTGTCCCAAAAGGAAAAAATAAAATCTAGAAGAGATTCATTAGTCATGAACAATATGTCTTCTATATTTATGCAAAACACGGATCTACATTTTAGTTCTATGTAGCTGTGTTAGCATGGCTCCTTTTTTGATGTGAGAATGCTTCTTGCTTATCAATTTTATTTTTAAGTTCTGATATATATTGACAGTGACTTGTGAGTTTCGAAATGAATATCAATTATTTTTATTTGTAGAAAAACCCGGAAGGTGCTAAGCTTTATATAGTTGCTGCTTGCCAGTCACCCTATGGACAAAGGTTTGGTTTTGAACACAACATTCTGCACATCTGTTGGGTCCATAGGACTGCAACCCGTAAACATGAGGTTTTCATGCTTCATTGCAGATCTGATGATTATATGGCTTCTCTCGCCAAGGTTCATTGTCTCTGTCGAAATTGGGTCTCCCAATAAGAAGTGCTCCTTAAGAATGTGCCTGCAAGGCACAGTGAAGTGGGTACATTGGTACGTAGGATAGTCTGCTTAAGGAAAATTGAGCGTCACAATGCCGAATCAAAGAAGACTAGAACGTGCACAAATTCATCTTCCTTCAGGCTTGAAGGTCGGCCTGAATGAAGATAAGCAAAGTGTGGAGGATAAATAATATTCCTTTAGCTAATGTAGAACCTAATTTGAGAATTGATGTTGGTTATTTATGTTAGACCTGTTTCATGTGTTTATCAATTTTTTCTAAATTAATCCTATTAATATTTCCTTAATAATAATTAAGTAGGAGAGGGAATGGAGAACTGAAAAAGATGATTAGGGTGATTTAAAAAAAATATTGTATTAATTAATTTAATTAATATTTTTAATCTACTTAAATTAATTAATTATGTATATATTAAGGACCAAGGGAGTATTAATATTCAGTAATATGCAATTTGTTGACATTATCGTTAGAATTTGAAGGGGTTAAGCACGCAATACTTGGCTGGAAGATCGACAATATAACGTGACTTGAAATGTTGATTCACTTATTATGAGAAGACATTGACCTGTTGAAAATAAGAAACCTTTTTGGATCGCTTTTTTTTGTTCTTATAAGTATGTCTGCTAACCAACTCGTATTTGGTAGTATCAAGTTAAATTTTAACATTGTTAAACCTAATTGGAAAACATTTTTCTCAATATGATTTTTTGATCCGAAGTTTTTTGAAGCTTTTACGTTGCTCAGAGGATTTTGGCCACTTTGAATCCGGTCAACATAGATGACTCTTAAATTGATGTAGATCATGTTAAATTGATGCAGAAACATCACGCCAAGTTGATGATTCGGAGAAAGATGTCTTTTTTTTTTTTTTTAGAATGAAATGAAAATTCTTACTAATTTATAACAAATAGAGGTTGCTGCAAGTGCGAACAAGGGCGTGTTGACAAAAAAAAAAAAAGAAGAAAGACGCAGGACACGCCGGGACGACGAGCGTAAGCAATAAATGCGGACATTTAATTAGTAAGAGATGGGATTAAAGAATGGATAAAGCAGCCAATGCGGGACAAGACGCGGAACCAAAGTGCATTCGTTAGTTTGAATAATGAATATTGAGAATTAGTAAATGACAAGGAAGAGCCAATCATTTGGAATAAGGGCATATTCTGTGTGTGGCCAGCATATTAATTTTGGATATTCTCTCTCCACATATTCCTCCACGGCATATGCCCTCCCTCCCGTTGCGTCCTCCCTCCACGCACTTCTCCGTCGTTTCACCATCTCGTCTTTTTCACTCACGTTACTCCCATTCATTCTCAACTCTTCTTTAGTTCTTTTCATAACAGTATCCTATGCCTGACTCCATGCAGTTTATAATAAATAACCACCATGTTTACGTCACATGGCCTTCCAAATAAGATTTTAAACTTTAAAATAGTAATTGTTTTATCTACAAGATCATATTTTTTAAATTTACAATTAAAAGATGTTCCTAAGGTAAATACCAAATCTAATGATGACGCTTTCAATTATCATATCTCAAGAAGGAGAATGATCCGTGGAATCCACTATGAAGTTCAATTTTAAGAAGATAAAAAGAGAAGGAAAAAAAAAAGAGGACAACGTGGCATAATAGTTAAAACACGTTTCAGCGAGTTAGCGTGCAGCCGGTGTCATCCTAGCCCTCTCTGCCTCAGTTCCGGCCATGAAATACCTGAAACCGTGGACTCCCTGAAAAACTATAAAAGGCCCACCCTCTGTTTGTTACGTTTTCGATACCCTCAAGTATAGTTCACACGCGCCGTCATTTCGCTCTTTCTTCGGTCTCTGCTGCTTCCTCCCATGTCCAGCCCACCGAAACTCATGCCACATACACTGTGCTATTGATTGATTCTCTTGCGCATTTGTTTGAGATATTGCTATGTCAACGGAGCGGCTGATTGAACCTTCCCATGCAATGTCAGAAGCATTGCCGACTTATCAGTCGTTGAGGCAATGCGGCGAGCCTAGTTGGATATTTGAAGAATTGCCGAAGGCCACCATTGTTTCCGTTTCCAGACCAGACACCGCAGATATTAGTCCAATCCTTCTCTCTTACACCATTGAGTTGGAGTACAAACAGGCACTCTCACTCTCTCTTCCCCCTTGCATATCTATGTTTGTGTTCTGCCTTTTTGTTTTTCTATAAATCAAGTTTGTGCTTCCTCGATTTTCTCTTGTTTGGCTGATGAGAGAATTCATGGATGAGGACTTTTCTGTTTTTGGATATGATTTTTGTTTCCTAATTCTTCATTACGTCGAGTTAAAGCAAAGAAAGGGTGGGAGAACTAAGCATAGACTGTTTCAGGAGTTGTTCGGCTAAACTGTGGTCTAAGTCATTGGCAAAAATATTGCTTGTGATTGTGATTATTCTTTCTTGTGTTCAATTTTACTACGCAAATCATTTTTAGCAGAATTGGATCATTGTACATTTTAGAATTTATCGGTGAGGATGAGCTGATCAGTAGAAATTACGTTTCGCGACTAAATACAAACTATACTGAGACTACACGGATAATTTTGCATAATTCGGGTATTTTCACAGTTTGCTCAATACATTTTACCACTTATGTGCTTTCTGTATTGGTGATGGTTCGATTCGGATGACAGCATGTACCTATAGTGAGAGATGGTACATTTGAGAACCTTCGTGGTGCATTAATAAGTTTGTTCTGGTAAAATTTTACAAGCAAAATGATATATTAGGTGGTAGAGTCTAACGGCATCATGCATATAGCCAATTTCGCTTAGGAAGATGCGTTTTGCTGTTTTTGAAAATTCTACGAACATATGTTTGTAAATTTTCATGTCTCATGCTAACAGAGGCTTCTGTCATTTTAAAGGAAAATGATTTCTTCTACTGGCTACCTCTTCTTAGCAAGTCATGTCTGGCTAATGTATTGATAATAATTGAAATTGTTTGACACATGTACAGTTCAAATGGCGCTTAAGGAAGAGAGCATCACAAGTTCTCTACTTACATTTTGCTTTGAAGAAACGTGCATTAATTGAAGAATTTCATGACAAGCAGGGGCAGGTTTGCTCATATGTTGCATTTTTTGTGGCCATTTTTTTCTTTTAATCTTTGATTGGTTTCCCAATCTCATTTTTTCTTTTTTTCTGAGGGAAAAAAATGAGATCCTTCATCAAGTAAAAATGTAGGCTTATGCTTTCAATAGCTTTAGTCCTTTGTGTCTGATTTCTTATCTTCAACTTTCTCTTTAAGGTAAAAGAATGGCTGCAAAGCTTAGGAATAGTTGATCCAACGGCGATGGTGCAAGATACTGAAGAACCTGACGATGGGGCTGTGCCTTTACATCATGAAGACAGTATAAGGAGCAGGTATCTCCATTTATATTGTCACAATATGATGCATTTCTGAACCTCTCAACATACCTTGAATTCTTTATGCTATTCCCCTGAATTTATTTATTATTGTAACTTGATCAGATATGTACCATCCGCGGCAGCCCTACCAATCATTCGGCCATCACTGGGAGGGCAGCAGTCAGTTGCAGATAAAGCAAAAGTCGCAATGCAGGGTTACTTGAATCATTTCCTTGGAAACTTGGATATTGTCAATTCTCGAGAGGCAAGTGGCAATACTCATCATCATGAATTTCTTTCGCTTATGTGACTTTTTTGCTGATATATTTGCGGATTGCACGCTGTTCCTTCTGCAAAGGTTTAAATGACATTTTAGTACTAGTGTCTATGGAGAATTTGTTCTCGGATACAAATACATTTATCTTTAGTTAGAATATAAGTGGATTGATATGAGAATACAAATCCCCTTTATGCTCATCCCTATGGCTTTCATACAACAGTGATATTGATGTAATTCTGGGTAGCGAAATACTGATTTTCCATAATTGCTGCAACTTATCTGGTGCTAAAATATTCCTTTCTGACATATGCTTTTGGATTACAGGTCTGCAAGTTCTTGGAGGTCTCTAGGTTATCCTTTTTACAGGACTATGGGTCAAAAATGAAAGAGGGCTATGTAATGGTGAAGGGCTTATCAAATATCTCAAGGGATTCAGATGTAACATGCTTTCCATGCGAATGGCTGGGTTTGTGCAATAACAACTGGTCCAAGGTTGGAGCATACACCATATTTTCTTTGTAATCTTCTCATGGAAATTAAATTTGCCTACATTTTATTCTTACCCTTATTCCTAATACTATATTGTCTGCACACAGGTGTGGGCTGTCCTGAAACCTGGCTTTTTGGCCTTGCTGGATGACCCTTTCAGCAACAAACCGGTAGATGTAATTGTTTTTGATATCCTTCCTTCATCCAGTGAAGATAAGGTTTCTCCTATACATTTGGCTGATCAACTCAAGGAACGCAATCCCTTAAGATACACATTTAAGGTAAGTTACTCTCTAGTGCTAGTGTATTTTGAAGCGTGTTCTGATTGATTATCACTTCATACAGAAGAGTCCGCCCTGAAATAATTATGTTTTGCTCTCAAACAAATAATAATTTCAGTTTATAAAAAATAATAATAATGGAATTTGTAAGGTAACTAGCGGAAATCGGAGCATAAGGTTGAGAACTAGCAGCAGTGCCAAAGTTAAAGAATGGGTTACTAAAATTAACGAAGCTGGCCTTGGACCTCACGAGGGTTGGTGTCGTTCTCATCGCTTTGGTTCATTTTCTCCCATAAGAGGTTTGACTGAAGATGGAAGCCAAGCCCAGTGGTTCATCGATGGTAAGGCAGCTTTTGAAGCAATTGCTTCCTCAATTCAGGAAGCAAAGTCAGAGGTAAATGCCGTTTAGTCAATGGTAACTAGAGTGTATATATTTGGCTTGTTTTAGGGGACAGCTAGACATTTATTGCTGAACCAAGATGGAAACTGGGTGCAGATCCTTATCACTGGATGGTGGCTTTGCCCAGAGCTCTATCTGAAACGTCCTTTTCACTCTCATTCTTCCTTTAGGCTGGACGCATTACTGGAAAAAAAGGCTAAACAAGGAGTTAAGGTACACATTTTCCTCACTCCCTCTCTCTCTCACACACACACAATCGGTTGTGGATATTACTTCCTTATTTGGAAGTGTCTGATACTTAAAGATTGGCTCATGACTTCAAATAATTATTTTAAGGATCCACGTGCTTCTTGTCTTCTTATTTTTCCTTTTGGCCATTACAGATCTATGTGCTTCTGTACAAGGAGGTCTCTTTAGCTTTAAAAATCAACAGCT